CCAAGTGTATCGCGTTTAGTCAGAACTCTCCACTATGACCTGTCCGTCTTGGGTCCTTGCATGGCATAGCCCATAGCTTCTCTAAATTACTCAAGCCCTTTCACCATGACAAGGCAGCAATCCATGAAGGGGAAGTCATTTGTTTAGATTTCTTAAAAGTAAGGTGTGGTGAGTTTACAAGAAGTGCAAAATTAAATTCATCCCAAAAAAAGCCCTCTCCATTTTATGAATGTGGGATATTGGGCTTCTGTATCTATGATTCAAAATGCAAGGAAATGACCCAACATTGCTACACAATATCATGCCCTCATTGCCAGCAAGAAAAAAGATGCCAAGTTTTACATAGCTTGGTGTCACTTAGTGAATGTTAGTGAGCACAAGTGAGTATCCTGTATACCATCTTTACTGGTGCCATTGATGTTGTCCACATTCATTGTATAAAGCAGCTTTTCTCCTGATGGCAGAGTCAGGATGATATTGTGCAGCAATACTGGGCCATTGATGTTTTGAATCGTGAACACAGAAGCACAATTTATTAAATCAGAGGTTGGTAGTTGTTGTTGCTGCTTTTAAGAATTGAATCTTTATATGATTTGAATCAGACCAAGCTCAAATTGCAATGTTCCAGGTTGTCACATGATCGGTCTCATTTAGACCATTTGCTCAGTATTTAAATCCACTGACCTTGATAAACTGAACTGTGCATCTTTGTGGTATATGCTAAATTGATTCCAGATTAAATCAGACTAGTTTAGGTGAGCCTAAAATGGAATACTATTTAATTGAATAATACTATTAGAGTTGCTAGCACAATTTTTGTAACCCAGATGAGGTCTTTACGGGAGCTATCAGCTGGCCCAGACTGTGTTTTGTATTAATATCTGGCATTTTGTCAGGAAATTTTTAAGAATGCATAAAAAGAGGTCCAAGAATTATATATTGCATCAAATACTGTGGCTAGAGGCTGAAGAAGAGACCTTTGCAATGCATAAAGGAGAAACTAATGGAATTTACCTCTTTGCTTTTGTTGCCGTTGTTTGGGGTGGGTTCTTTTGAGCTTGTCAACAATTTTTAAGATTAATACCAAATACCAGTAAGAAGACCAAATGCCTTTTAGAAACTGACTGGAATGAAGGAATGATTTAAAAAGATGGTTGTTGTGGGTTTTACAGGCTCTTTGGATGTGTTCTGAAGGTTGTTCTTCCTGATGTTTCGCCAGTCTCTGTGGCCGGCATCTTCAGAAGACTGGAGTAGGAACTCTGTCCATGCTCTGAATTTAAAAAGAGTTCACAGCTCCAAAGAAGGTAGCTATTAGATCACTTGTACTTAGAGGCTATCTGGAGAAACTAAATGACATGAATAATTAGTAGACTGATATACCAGTGATAATTGGGGTGTGATATGCTTACAAAGCAGAATAGCTTCACTAAGAGCAAGATTTATTGTATTACATTAATTTGTTGACCACAGTGCAAGATGAAATTAAGTGTGCGTAAGTCCTTGATTTCAGTGGATTTCCACACACTTAAGTGTGATACACTGTGACTATTAAATGCATATGGATTAAAATATATAAGCTTTGTTAGGAATTTTTGTGTTATAAATGGAAAAAGAATTGGTGAATTATATGTGTTTGTTGTTTTGAGTGTAAATAATTTGGGGTTTATTTTTTTAAAAAAAGATGATTTCTGGAATCACATATTGATCGGAGTGGACACAGATTTGGGAATTTGTTGCTGGTCTGAGAAGAGCAATAATCAATACAATATAATTATTCTTGGAACATGTCATCACAGCTTGCATGTTTTTCTTGAGGGAAAATTCTTTCTGATCATGACATATTCCACAAAACGTTATTTTTAATTATTTTTATTTCTACTAGACTAGGAATGGGATAGGGAATACAAAAGGTAAAAGGGAGTGCAGGGGATGGGAAAAAAAGGTTTGAGGATAGGAGAACACAGAATATATAATCATCCATTCTATTCATATTAAGCATGTATGCCTCTGATCCACTCATTTTCCAGTACAAAAAAAAAAAATCTTTGTATTCTTTTATATATATATATATATTTATCTGTATACTATTTGATTACAAAACGTAATCAAGTAATTTCAACTATGTTGCTTCTAATGCATGCCGAAACGCAAATGTGCTGCAGAATTATTTGATGGCAGTTATTGCAACTCATTTGTAGCTATTGCCTAATTTCTCCAAACATCTGATCGTATTAAGGCTGCTACCAAAATGTTAACAAGGTCATGCATTGGAGGTTGGTTGGTTTGTCTGTTTTGAGCTGCAATATGTGGGTTACAGAATGAATGAAAAATGTATCTTTGCATTCCTTCTATGTGGGGATTCAATGGTGAGAGCAGTGATTTGAGTTTTTTTCCAAGATTTAACCAACCAAAGCTTCCCTCATCCTAAAGAAAGCTTTCATAAAGTTATAGTGTGACACCTTACCTGCAATGCCTCCTACATAATGTACTGTCTTTTCTTTCAACAAGAAGGATTTTTTTAAAAAAAATAATAAAACCCTTTGGTAGAATGCTAATTCTTGTTCTCAGTGATAGCTAGTCTAAATACAGTATATAAGTGAAGAAACTGCGTATTCTTTCTCTTTTTACCAGCCTAAGTCAGTTTTAGTGTCCTTCCTGGTTGTTTTCCCTGTGGTGCACTTCAGCTTGTAGGCTTTTTCATATAGGAGACCTATCCTTTTGCGTTCTATCAATGGAATAATAACAATGGTGATGGTGATGGCAATGATATCCACTGAGTTGCTACTAAGTTCATTTTTACTAGTGGAGCCTGAGACATTTGAGCCTCGTCACCATCTTTATCTATTTAGTTTCTATCATAACTATCGTTAGAGTTGGGTACGAACCAGCAGATTGTGTTGGTTTTTACTTCAGCCAAATTCAGAGGTGGGACAGGGAAGCCAGGGCACTGTCTCTGAGTGGACACCCACCAGAAGCAAGGCCAGGAAGTACCAAACACTTGTTCAACTGAAACAGAAACCGGCAATGAATTGACAATTCAGTGCTTCATAGCCCTTTCTAACCATCACATGCTGATTAGGCACTACTGTACTTTTTCACTGATGGTGCCAGTCTTCCACCCAAGTGTCATGCAGGTCTTTTCTCTCTGCCCCTTCCCTATCTCTGGCTTGGGGGGGGTTAAAGATTGCCATTCCTTCTTCATGTCCCATATTCATTACAAATCATAGTGTTTTGTCTCAAAGACAATGAGGTGGACAAGCCAGATTAGGAATGCTCAACCTTATCTCTACTCTCCAGCACTTTCTCTAGCCACAAACTCTAGCATGGTGAAATGGAACAATCCAGGTGCAATATGCTCAGCCACTCAGTGTTAGGCTCTCCACCAACACCTTTCAGATCTCAGATCCTTACCAACATTACTCTGTAAGAATATTTTTTTGAAGCCATGGTTCCCAACCTTGGGTCCCCAGATGATCTTAGCTGACAAGTCTCAGAAATCCCAGCCAGCACAGTTAGGGTTGAAGGCTTCTGAGAGTTTTGATCCAAGAACAGCTCAGGATTCAAGGCTGGGAACCACTGCTTTATAGAGTTCAAAATATATATTAAGGTTTTATTGAAGGAAGAATCCAGATATAGTATCAAAGCTCTGTATTACTAATTCATTCAGATTGATTAAGTATTTGAGAACGGAGTTTAAGATCTTGATGATCAAAGAAATTAAAACCTGTGACCATCTGCAGGATTGGATCTGAATGGTGAATTTGTATTTCAAATGCTACAATTTTGTCTCCCAGTGGTTAATGCAAAATAACCATGAATGAGGGAAGGAGGCTTTTTGGCTTCAATCTGAGAAAAGAGCTAGCAAGACAGCTTCCTGGTACTAATCCAAGAACCAAAAAGACTTACAGAAACAGTTCTAGAGTTGGACATGACTAAACGACAACGACGATCAGTTATCTTTAATATAGAGATAGAAAAAATATCTTTGATTGGAGTATTCGGGGAGTTGTTCAAAAGGTTAACTTTTCTCATCCCTCATCTGATATAATAAATAATAATCCATTTGCAAGCACTCCATTTAAAATTGACTGATCAAATCTAGTGAAAAATGTGTTACTTGCTTTCGAAAGCTGTCGCTCTAAAATTCCATTGGTTTATAAAACTACCAAACACATTTTGACACAATTGCATGGATAAATATGTTAAGACTATTCAGATCCAGTTAATCATGTGATAATTCAGTACGAGACTTGGCGGCTGCCTACATTTGACTTATTTCACATAGTAAAAGGCATCTTCCAGCTCAATAGACCTTGGAAACCTGCAATCAGATAACTATGTATGATCAAAGTTCAACAATCGCATTAAGGCTACTCCCATCTTCATGGAAGTAAGCTGCATTAAAAACTCTGAGCCTTACTCTGAGCAGACAGATATGGGAATGCACTGTCATTTTTTTGTTTAATTTCTGAATGCCATCCAGAAATGATAGGGATTCTGGAGGTTTGTTTTTTTAAAGTGTTACCTATGTTATGGAGCCAACGGTAATATTTTGGATATCTTTGCTGGAGTGCTGCATGACCTCAGATAGTAAATAAAAGTGAAACGACTGCATTGCCTCTTTTATTTTATTTTTTCCTTTTTGAATTGTTGTAATAATTCCCCCTTTTCACCCAACAGCCTCCTCGTCTCTTGACATGATACTGATGTGAGTGGCTGGATTTATCTGACACAGTACAGAACAACAAAAGGTTGGCCTATTTTTCTTTTTTGGATGGCTTTCTATTTTGTGCTCACAGTCTCAGATACAGGTCAGTCGAGGGGCTTCTGGAGCTTTTCTGAACTTAGGACTTTGTATGATCTCCGCAGTTCTTCATTGGAGTTCAGGGGTAAAGCGTTGGAAGTGAAGGCATGGAGTCAACCAATGTTTGCTTACCTTTACTACACTATCCCTTTTCCCTAGGTTTCTGTGAATGTCTATTGAGATAAATGTTATTTTATTTCCCATCAGAATGGAATATAGGAACCTTCTCCTTGGCTTCCTACTCTGCTGCATTTTGCTTGCAACCAGTTATTCATATATGATATTAGAGGAAAAAAAGGACACGAACAAGAGTGCGGTACATACTAGCAAAATCAAGTTCCCGGATCTCCCACCTATCTCTATAGTAGGTCAGTAAAAAATTCTAACTCAAGTTTATCTCTATACAGTAGGACTACCCTGGGGATTGGTTCCTGCCCCCATCCCGTCTTCAGATACTGAATTTGACCCAACTCCGGGAGGCAGTGGAAGACAGGAGGGCCTGGCGTGCTCTAGTCCATGGGGTCACGAAGAGTCGGACACGACTAAACGACTAAACAACAACAGCGGTGTTTCTGGGAATACATATAAAATTGTTTTTCTGGAGTTTTTCTTTTAATATTTTCAGAACAGTGAATATTTTCAGTGAAACTGCAGATATGGGGGGGATTGTCCCACTGTATTGTAAACTGTAAGCTCCTGCTTACAGGACAAGGGGTAACTCTTTCTCTCTCCATACTCTCTTCCTTAAAAGTCAAGAATGAGGAATATTTTCCTACTGAGGCTGTGGGTAATCTGTTAGGGTATAATACTAGAAATGGCGAAATCTTGAACTAAGACTGAGCACTGCTGTCCCTTTTATTTCTGTCTGAATGCCCCATTTCAGTCATGCACCATGTATGCCTATTTATGTATGTGCATAGAAATGAAGACACCGTTCAGTAGACAAGGAAGTATGTTTGAAGGAAAGTTATGGAGAAGATAAATGAGGAATGACTGGAGTATGAAGTTGGAAAAGGCTGGAAAAAGATACTTCACTGTCAGCATTGATAAACAGTCATGAAGATTACACAGAAATGATCATTCAGACTTCCAGTTGTAATGGAGTTGAAGCAGTATGAGATATGTAGTTAGAGAAATGTAAGATGGAGTCAGACAGGTTCTGTGTGAAGATGATTTGAGAAACATTGGAATGTGTTTTTCTAAATGCTATGAGAGTATTTTTCTGAAGACTGGTACAGCGTGGTTCAAGATAAAGCTGAAGGTCGGACAAGGAGCCCATGGAAGATTCAACATTCAAGCTAATTGGAGAAGAGATAAAACACCTGGATTTTCATGGGAATTGAGCGAGGAGGAATGTTATAGCCCCTCAAGGCTAATTGGTTGACAGCCATGAAGTGTCAAGAAGAAGGGAGGAGATAGAGAATGTAGAAAATGGACAATGGGTTATGTGGAAGAAGTTCAGAAGTTCTATTCCATGATGATGGAAGAGAAAAATAACTTGATAGTTTGAGTATGTGGCTTGAAGGAGAAAGAAGTAAGTGGAGAGAAAGAAGGAGGTGGGGCTAGCCCAGCTTAATAGGGTTTATTATTCTATGGAGATTAGTTATTTTATTTAACTGTAATGATTTTTGAATATGTTCTTACGCTAAAGTTTGAGCAATATAAACGGATTCTAGGAAACTCTATTTTTCTAATAAAATTAATTATAAAAATCCTTACAAAGGACTGGTCTCTTGAACAGCAGGATCTGGCTAAATACAAGGAGTGGAGAGGGCCACAAACTAGCTATCTAGAGTCCTGCCTAACTGAGCTATTGTGAATTCTAAGGAATCACAAAGCCCATGTGTCAGTACTTGCAAAGTACTGGGTAAAAGTAAAGTGTTCTTTTAAGGTCAGAGTTCTTCAAGGGGCTTACGCTACGCACTGCTGAGGTCTTGGGACTTGCCTCAGCACAAAGGTAGGTATCCAAGAGGAGGCCAAACCTCTACACAAAATCTTGTGAATTCTATTTTATTTAGAATAACAAAATAACACTTAATTGTCATTGCATGTGCAATCAGATCACCAGAGTGCTATCTCCTCTGGATACAGGGTTAAAAGATTCTTGTCCAAGAGTCAATGATTAACTGCTAGTTGGAGATCGCTCTAAGTGCTGTGCCCAAGGTTTGTTATATGTTTCCCAACAAAGTTTGCCTATAACTTTCATCTCAGAAGGGATTGATCAATAATATATGTCCACTGTTTGGTGAACAACAGTTCTTTTCTACACCTCAACTAAGGACATTGTTATTTACCATAATTCAGTGATATTGTGACAGTAGGTTGCAATTTGGGCTAGGCTGAAACTATCAGCCCTTATTCTGCTAAATTGTGTACCTCAATCTAGCAGGAAACCATCACTTTGATTTAAGACTGAATCAAACCAATGTACCGCTGCACAGTTCCTCCATGGGGCCCCTTCTTTCCCACTTTTTTTAGGGCAGCTGGTTGTCTTAAAGGCAGCAAGGAAGGAGAGTACATAAGGGAACTGTTTGAGGAACAGTATGAGAATTCGGCCACTGTTTCAATCTGTGCCCTATTAAACTATGTCTCTTTCTATACCTAGTCTCTTCTTCTACACACTGTTTAAAAATAGGGATACTGTTCCCTTGGTAGCAACCTGCCAAGTTAAGAACTTGGGTGCTCTGAACAAAAGAAATCATGGAGTGTGCTGATTATAGTGGTTTTTAGTTCACTAGAGACTTATCTGGGGCCACTCCTCATGCTTTTCTAGATGAGAGAATTGTCACCTGTTGTGTTTCTGCATGCATCAGAACTGGTTGTGTTTATGTGGGTAGAGAAGCAAAGAGAGAGCCCCATCTCCATATTTTCTGTAATGTTTAATTAAATCTAATACAATACCTACACAGTAGTGTGCAATGCTGCACAGAAATTATAAAGCTCTAGCACTTTTTTTAAAAAAAAGATTAAATCAGAAGCATATCTGTGACTTTCCTTGCTTGTTTGTTTGTTTTTTTCTAAAGAGTTAACCAAAACATCCATGAAGCTAAGTAGGAAAGAAGCAGAGAGAAATAAATCTATGAAGGTAAGTGATTGTTCTCAAAATGCCAGCAAGGTTAAAGTAATTTTGGTCCTCAGCAATGATAAACTATAGGGCTTCTAGTGTTTCCCTGTTGTTCTCAGTGCATATGCTGGTAAATTATATTAGTTCTACATTAGTTTAACTGGTTCGATATCCCCAAAGAAATCTGGGAATAGTAAGATTAGTGAGGGTGATGTGACTTCTCCTTTGGGAGCCCCTACTTACCTTTTCATTAGAGTTCCCAACAATACTTTGGGAAATGGCATTAATTTTTGAAGTGTATTTAATAGTGGACAAAATCCTGTTGCTTAGCACAGTAAATCATACTAGAGCAGACCAGCTGAATCAATGGAGATTGGGTGAGTCAACTGCTTGTAAGCAGTTGAATTGCATTCATTGAAATGGCCCTTGCTCTAACTGATTTCCTTTAGCACAGTGAGTCACACTTATAGACAGGTTGACTCACAAAATCACAATTGATTCCATGGGCCTACTCTAGAACAATTCAGTGCATTAAGCAACAGGATTGTGGCTAATATTTTAACTTTCTCAAGCTGCTTCCATGACAGAGAAGCAAAATGCCTCAGACAGCAGAAGAAATTCCACATCAAGGAGAAGGATGTTGCTCTGAAACTGATTGTCTGAGGTGACTCTCTTGTTTTTACAGATCACAGTTCTGAACTGCAATCCTAGCAAAAGGAGCACTCAAAAGTACACTAGAGGAAGAAGCAAGCATACGTTTGCTACCTTGCTCTTTTTGGCATTTCATTATTAATTCTCCAAATCTTTGTTGCATTCCTCACTCATAAAGTCTTAAAGAAAAGCTATCAAACATATCCTTGCAAAGGGACTGGGGACTGGAGGGACAAAAGCACTAAGTAGAAGTTCTGGATTCAGTGTAAGTCTTCTCTGCTCTTTGAGATGCTTAAAAATATACTGCAACTTAGGCCTAGAGTCTGTAAAATTAGAGTCAAATCTCATTCACCTTATCAGTAAAGGCCTTTGAAGAGAATCTTCTGACAGCTGGCATTACAGATATTGGAAGGTCCCATTACACCAAAAAACAACACTAATTTTTAAGAATATATTAAATAAAACATAACTTTTACCCTGAAAGTAGTGACTTCCAGAGTAGGCATCCTTCAGTCTCAAGAGACTATGGTAACATGCTCTGAATAGAGGTCTCGGAACAGTGTCTAGTATGGCTGAGAAGGCCAATTCCCCTTTAAAAATATTTTTTGTAACAAGACCTGTCAGCAAGGCCCTATTCAGTTCCTTATTTTGGAACTAGAAGTTACCTGTAAAATTCTTCTTTCTGTGGAGATCCTTTTGCAGCTTGTTGGACTGACCTGAGGTATTACAATTAATGACATGGGCCAGATATAGAGATTAGAGATGGCCTATAATTAGAGCTGAAACCCCATTAATAGCCTAGAGAGGTGATATTGAGATGATCTTTCCCATATTTGTGAAATCAGAAGTATCAAGGAATCTCATTTAGGTCTGGAGATGAGGTTCGTGATTTGACACTCAGATGCTCATTTCTTCCCATCTTTGGTATGTGTGTCTCAACCTGGAAACAACTTCAGCATGGATACATTGGAATGTTAGCCAGTTAATTAGTTCTGCGTAAATAAGTCAGAACTGGCT